AGGCTATTTTTTAAGGTGTTATTTTCTTCAGTATTTTTTTGGGTCTCCTTTAGCAAGCTGTTGACTTGTTTTTCATGATTTTCTTGCATCACTCTCATTTCTCTTCCCAGTTTTCCTCTACTTCCCTTACTTGCTTCTCAAGATCCCTTTTGAGCTCTTCCAAGGCCTGGGACTGATTCATATTTTTCTTGGAGGCTTTGGATGTAGGAGCTTTGACTTTGTTGTCTTCTTCTGGTTGTATAGTTTGATCTTCTATGTCACCAAACAAAAGATTTTGTGGTCTGACTTTTTTTGTGCCTTTGTTGGCTCATGCTCCCAGCCAGTTACTTGAGTTTTAAACTCTTTGTTAAGGTACGGGTCTGCTTCCAGTGTGGGGAATGTACTGGCCCAAGTTTTGGGGGTTTTGTGCAGATGTTTTCAGAGATACTTCTAGGGACCTATACATTTTCAGTTCTTCCTAGGTGGTAGGATCCAGGGCGAGATGTTCCTGGCCTGTACTCTGGTCTCTGAGTGACCACAAGCACTCTTTTTCTGCCTTGGAACTGTGAGGAGAATTCTCTCTGCACCACCACTACAAACTTCACCATGCCAGCACTCCTCCTTGCCCCAGGACCACCACCAGAACTGTGACTCAGATCCTAGCATAGGCAAAGCAAGGGATTCCTGCCTCCGCACCAGCAAAGAGATCCTTGCAAACCCCTCTGATCAGCCACTCGATTCTTCCCCCATCTGTGGGCTGAGAGCTCTGGAAGCAGCTGCTACCCTGGGGTTGTGCTGGGACTGGGGCTGGGATTGAGCTCTTTTCTCACCATGGTCAGCAGACCTTTCCTACTGACCTTCTAAGTTGCCTTTGGAACTTGTGGGTTGAGAAGTCTGGAAACCACCACAGCTGTCCCTGATTCAGTCCCCTGAGGCCAGCTCCAGGTTTGCTAAGGCCTAGTCTTTGCCTGTGTCCCCATGCTGAATTGTGCTCCTCTCCCAGCCCATCACAATAGACCTTTCTAATCAACCATCCAGGTTGTGTTGGGCTGGAAATTTGTTTCACTCTGTCTTTTTGTGGGTTCTGCTGCTCTAGAATTTGTTTAGAGCCGTTTTTTACAGGTATTTGGAGGTGTTTAGGGGAGAGCTCAAGCAAGTCATTGCTTTTACTCCACCGTCTTAGCTCTGCCCCCAACTATCCATAGTTGTTGCAAAGATTCTCCCTCCCTCCCTCCCTCTCTTCCTTCCTTCCTTTTTCTTTCTTCTTGAAAATAGATTTCTAAGTATTTTGACCCTTCCTTCCTTCCTTCCTTCCTTCCTTCCTTCCTTCCTTCCTTCCTTCCTTCCTTCCTTCCTTCCTTCCTTCCTTCCTTCCTTCCTTCCTTCCTTCCTTCCTTCCTTCCTTCCTTCCTTCCTTCCTTCCTTCCTTTTTCTTTCTCTTTAAAATAGATTTCCAAGTAAGTATTTTGACCTGCCCAACACTAACCAGCAGAGGGCAGGGCTGTTTCATTTATTGTTTATAAAAGGCCTTTTGAATTGGTTGTTTGGCTATTATTGAGAGACTTCATTAACAACAACAAAGACAAGCCCTGTTTACAGAGTGTCTACATTGTGCTTTGTAAATATTCTATAACCCTTACTAAGAGGCAGGGAATATTGATGCAGTGATTAATTAAGGCTATGGCACATTGGTTAAAACACATAGCCCATGCATCTTAATAAGGTGCTATTAATTAGTTCTATGGATCACACAGTAATGAGGCTTTTTACAGTTGGAACAAACATTAGTAGCTGATCAATCATGTTCACAACATAGTTCTGGTTCCGGGAAATGCTGTCCGATGTGGCAGGGGTAGGCAGTGTAAGGCATAGAACCACAAATCCTTCAATAAGATTTTGGAAACCTTCCCTTAATGAACTTTTGTCTAAGTCATTGTCATTCTGCAAATAGGTTAATTGGGTTGTAGTTCTGGCTCTTCTGCTGCTTTGCTGCGTGACTTTAGGCAAGTCACTTACTCTCCCTGGGCTTTACTTTTGTTACATGTAAAATTATGGGAATGGCCTAGATAAGTACTAAGCTCCATCTCTTCCATATGTGATATTTCATTGTTTGGGTGTTCAGATATTTATCCATTAAAAGCATATGTGGTTGGATGCCTTCTTGCACAGATGATTTTGATTTTCCTTAACATACTAAAAACTTTATTTATTTAGGGGAAAGTCTACCTAATTTGACAGTGTACTTGCTTATACTTTAAGGTAAACACCATTGGAAAAGTCCTAGAGTGGAATGATCAAAGAAAGTCAGTGCAAACAGTTTTCAACCATAGTGGCTCCTGCCCATCACAGACAAGATGGAGGCTTAGAGCTGTGTCCCATGGCTACACTTAGCCATTTACATTAAATCAAGTTGCATCTCCTGTGAATTAACAAGACTTGAAACTCCAGCTGGATATAGTGGTAGCAATAGAGAGAAAGGTTAAGGATGAATTCAAGATTGAAAACCTGGGTTTTTGGAAGGATGATGATGCCCTCAATGGAAATAAAGAAGTTAATAGGAGGAATGAGTCTTTTGGGAGAATAGAATGTGTTTGAGATGCCTATCCAGGGACAACCAGGTGGAGACACCCAGCAGGCAGTAATGTGATAATGGGGGGCTGGAATTCAGGAGAAAAATTAGGGTTCTAGATATATAGATTTGGGAATCTATATAGTTTATATAGAGGTGATGATTGAATCTATAGAAGTTGATATCACCAAAGGGGGATGCTCGCATGTAGCCGGCAAGAGGATTATAATTATAATGGCCTAGCAAAAAAAGACTGAAAAGGAAAGGTTGGATAGGTAGGAGAACCAATAGGAAGCTGGAAAGACAAGGAAGGATAAAATATCCAAAAGGAGGGATGATTAACGTGTCAAAAGCTGCAGAAAGGTCAAGGAGGATATGACCAAGAAAAGACCATTGACTTTACCCCTTGAGAACATTGGCAACTTTAGAGTCAAGAATTTCTCATCAAATAGAGTAAGAAGCCAGATTGCAAGGGATTAGGAAATGAATGGGAGACAAGGAAATGGAGGCACCTGAGTTTAGATAACTCTTTCTAGAAGTTAGTCTGTGAAGGAGAGAAGAAATACAGTATGATAACTCATAATAATAGCTAGCATTTATATAGTACTTTAAGTTTTACAAAGTTACATATGTTAACTCATTTGACCCTCACAACAACCCTGTGAGGTAAGTGCTATTATTATTATTATTATTATCATTATTATTATTATTCTCATTTTACAGATGGAGAAACTTAGGCGCAGAGAGGTAACTCTGTGTTATGCAGTTAGTAAATGTCTGAGGCAGGATTTCAGCTTGACTCTTCCTGACTCCAAATCCACTAATCCACCTAACTGCTCCTATCTAGCTTGAGGGAATGGCAGGGTCAGTGGTTTTAAGAATCAAGTAATTAGAAACTGTTTGGTCTTTCAAATCTGAGCTGGGATTTAACAACAACAACAACAAGAAGCCTAGGTGGTTTAATAAAAATGGATTTGGAGTCAGAATTTGAATCACTTTGGCTTTCTGGGCTTCGGTTTCTTCACCTTATAAAGTAAGTGCAGGGGGGGAGGGGCAGTAATTGGTCTTGAAGACCATTTATCCTATGGCCCTTTCCTCCTCACAGATCTCACATAGATTTAGACCTGGAAGGGGCATCAGAGGTTATCTAGTCCAACCATCTTGTTTTACAGATGAGAAAACTGACATCCTCTTTGGATGTCAGTTTGGAATCCCCAGTAGGCCTGGGGTTCTGAGCCCAGGTCCTCTCACTCCAGAAACAGTGCTTTTTCAACTACAAACTGGTATTCATATTCTGTATTTTCTAGTCCTTTCATCATCTCATTGTTCTTTTTCTGTCTGTACCACCATTCTTCTAGTTACCTACCTTTAAAACCTTGGAGTTCTCTGTTTCCAGTCAGTTGCCAAAGCTTGTCAAGTCAACCTTCCTACATATCTTACATCTCTGCCTTCCTCTCCATTCACATGCCTACCATCTTTGTTCAGGCTTTCAGCGTCTCCAGCTTAGATTATTGTAATAGTCTATGATTTGGTTTCTTTGCTTCTGGTCTTTCATTTCTTAAACTCATGACCTACACAACTGTCAACATTCTCTTCCTAAAGTATAAATGTGACCATATGACTGTGCTACTCAAAAATCTCTATTAGTTCCTTATCTCTAGAATAAAATATAAATTCAGCTAGATATTTAAAATCTTTCAAAATCTGGTTCCAATCCTTCTTTCCAGATGTATTTTCCATTATTTCCTTTCACACACTACATTCCAGCCAAGGTGGTCTAATTCTTTCTAAAACATAGCATTCTATCTCTCACCTCTGTGTTTAGACACCTGTGCTTGGAATGCAGTACTCATTTCCACATCTTAGAATCATTAGCTTCCTTTGAAGATTAACTCATTGATATCACCTCCTTCAGGAAGTCTTTCCTGATTTCTCTAGCTGTTAACTCTCTCTTCCTCCTCAAACTACCTTAAATTCACTTACTAATCTGTTTGCATGTTCTATTCCCCAGTAAAATAAAAACTCTTTCAGGACAGAGTCTATTTTTCATTTTTGTTTTTGGGTACCTATCACCTAGTCCAGCACTTTGTACGTAGTAGGCAATTAATGTTTGTGGAAATGAGTTTAGATATATTTCTTTCCTATCCTTTCCTCTTTTTTTCCCCACTAACCTTTTCATCTCTCATTCCCTTCCCACCTTTCCCTTTCTGCTCTTTTCTTATCTAGAGAGTTAGATGAATATGTGTTAATATTTTTCAGTGGGTAAAGGTGGGTGGGTGGTATGTGCATGCACACACACACGTGTGTGTGTGTGTGTGTGTGTGTGTGTGTGTGCTGCTGGTGGAGTCATCATTCTCATTCCTTTGTATCTCCCCTTTTTCCTCATTCAGAGTTTGTATTTCCAGATACTCTGGCCCCCACACTCCCTATCCATGCCAGTTGTGTCACTTACTGGATCTTTGGTTTTTTATGAAGAACAGCTTGAGTCTCTCTTTGAAGGTATTCTCATTGACATAGAACTCTACTTGTACCCTGCAGGAAAAAGAAAAAAAAAAACAAGAGAAAAAGAAGCTTTAGGGCCTGGCTTGTACCTTGGAGTCTCATTGTCATTGATAAAACGAGGAGGGATAGCTAGACTCTATGATCTCTTATGGTCCCTTCTAATCTATCACTTTATGTCCTATAAATTTAGTAGATATCCTCATGGGAGAAATGGTAATAGCTCAGCTAAAGCCAGTTTATTTCCAAACCATGGTCCCATTTTCCCAGGATATACTTGATAAACAAGCCTTAGAGAAAACCAATAAAACATACCAGATTAATTTATCTCCACAACCTCTTCCCTGTCACTAGAATCTTGAAACTGGAGAATCCATTAAGAGGCCACTCTAGGGTCACATTAAATGCCAATATTCACTATTGCACTGGCTGTTATTTGCTGTGGGGGTGAAATTGAAGGTGGAAGTAGAGGGATACATGTATGTGTGTGTGGAGGAGGTGAGATATTTTTGCATGGAAAAGGCTCACTCTGCTTTGGAGGGAAAAATAAGAGGGTGACTGTTTGTCCTGCCCTTGCAGGAGACATTCATCCAAAATCTCTCAAACTTGAACTATGTGCCTGCCATTTTGCATTCAATCTTGTAAGCAGATATAAAAGTCAGTTGAAAAAAGGCACTCAAACTTGTAAAAAAGAGATAGGAAATGCTTGAGGGAAGTCACTGTGAACACAGGACTGGCACCCCCTGCACCAGTGACTCCTAGCCCCTTGGTTGTGCCTAACTTTGAAGAAACAGTGGCCAAGAAATAAAATCCTCATGGGTTCTTCCTTACCTTACAACTATAATTGGGAGACACTAATTGATTATAGAGGTAAATGCCATCTCACTCACCCTCAATAATGACAAACTCTGGAAGCTCACTCACTGCCTCAATTTGACTTTTTTAAAATAGTATTTTATTATTTTCCCAATTACATGTCAAGATAATTTTTAGTATTCATTTTTTTACAAGATTTTGAGTTCCAAATTATTCACTCTCCCTCCTTCCCTCTCTCCCCTCCCCTCTTCTGAAAATGGTAGGCAATTTGATGTAGGTAATACATGTACTATGATGTAAAACATATTTCCATATTAGTCACAGTTGTGAAAGAAGAAACATATTAAAAGGGAAAAAAACATGAAAAAGAATAAAATAAGTGAAAAGATATGTTTTGATCAGCATTCAGAGTCCATCAGTTCTTTATCTGGATGTGGATAGCATTTTCCTTCGTGAGTCCTTTGTACTTGTCTTGTATCACTGTGTTGCTGAGAAGAGCTGAGTCACTCATAGTCAATGTTGCTGATACTGTACAGTGTTTTCCTGGTTCTGCTCATTTCACTTTGCATCAGTTCATACAAGTCTATCCATGTTTTTTCTGAAATCTGCCTGTTCATCATTTCTTATTGCACAATAATATTCCATTACATTCATATACCACAGCTTGTTCAGCCATTCCTTAATTGATGGGCATAACCTCAATTTCCAATATTTTGCTACCATGGAAAGAGCTGTTATAAATATTTTTGCACATGTAGGCACTTTATCCTTTTTTATGGTCTCTTTGGGATACAGACCTAGCAGTGGAATTGGTAGATCAAAGAGTATGCACAGTTTCATAGCCCTTTGGGCATAGTTCCAAGTTGCTCTCCAGAATGGTTGGATCAGTTCACAACTCCACCAGTAGTGCATCAGTGTCCCAATTTTCCCACATCCTCTCCAACATTTACCATTTTCCTTTTTTGTCATATTAACCAATCTAATAGGTGTTAGATGGTACCTCGGAGTTGTTTTAATTTGCATTACTTTGATCAAAAATGGTTTGAAGCACTTCTTCATATGCCTATAAATAGCTTTGATTTCTTTATCTGCAAACTGCCTGTTCATATCCTTTGACCATTTATCAATTAGGGAATGGCTTGTATTCTTATAGATTTGACCCAGTTCTCTATATATTTGAGAAATGAGGCCTTTATCAGAGATATTTGCTATAAAGATTGCTTCCCAGCTTTCTGCTTTCCTTCTAATCTTGTTTTCATTGGTTTTGTTTGTACAAAAGCTTTTTATTTTCATATAATAAAAATTAACTATTTTATATTTCATAATGCTTATAACTCACTTGGCTTCTCCTTTAAGAATTTGCATGCTATGCTACTTGGTGCATATATATTTAATATTGATATTGTTTCATTATCTATGGTACCTTTCTTTATCTCTTTTAATTAGGTCTAGTTTTGATTTTACTTTGTCTGAGATCAGGATTGCTACCCCTGCTTTTCTTATACTTCAGTTGAAGCACAATACAGTTTGCTCTAGCCCCCTTACCTTCATTCTGTGCATGTCTCTCTGCTTCATGTGTGTTTCTTGTAAACAACATATTGTTGGATTCTATTTTTTGATTCACTCTGCTGTCTGCTTCCATTTTGTGGGAGAGTTCATCCCATTCACATTCACAGTTATGATTACTGTCTATTTCCCTACATTCTATTTTTCTGTTTTTTGGGCTCTCTCTCCTTTCACCCTTTCCCTATTTGACAGTGTTTTGCTTGTGTCTACCACTTTCCCTAATCTGCCCTCCCTTCTGTCAGTTCCCCCCCCCCCCCAGAAGATAGATTTCTATATTCAACTGTTTGTGTATATTATTCTCTCTTTGAGCTAAAACTGATAAGAGTAAGGTTCAAGCAATGCCCATCGCCCACCCTCCCATCTTCCCCTCCACTGTATAGGTTTTTCATGCCTCTTCATGTGAAATAATTTACCCTAATTTGCCTCTCCCTTCCTTCCATACCCTATGTACTCCTCTTTCTCATCCCTTAATTAATTTTTTATATCATTCCCTCACATTCACCTTATAACTGTACCCTCTGTGTATATTCCTTCTAGTTGTACTAATAGTGATACAATTTTTAAGAATGACAAATATCATCTTCCCACGTAGGGTTGTAAACAGTTTAGTTCTATTGAATCCCTTATGTTTCCTCCCCCCTTTTTATCTGTTTATGCTTCTCTTAGGTATTGATATTGGAGATAAAATTTTTAGTTTAATTCTGGTCTTCTCATTATAAAAGCATGAAATCCTTCTATTTCATTGAATAGCCATTTCCCCTCCTTGATGTATTATGCTTAATTTTGCCAGGTAAGTGATTTTTGGTTGTTGTCCTAGTTCCATTGCCTTCCAGAATATCATGTTCCATGATCTCTGATCCTTTAACATTGCAGCTGCTCAGTTCCCTGTAATCCTGATTGTGGCTCCCAATATATGAATTGTCTCTTTCTGACCACTTGCAGTATTTTTCCTTGACCTGATAATTCTTAAATTTGACTATAACGTTCCTTGGAGTTTTTATTTTGGGATCTCTTTCCAGAGGAGATAGATGGATTCTTTCAATGTCTATTTTGCCCTCTGGTTCTAGGATATCAGGGCAATTTTCCTTGATAATTTCCTGAAAGATGCTGTCTAGGTCCTCCTTTTGATTATGGCTTTCAGGTAGTTCAATGATTCTAATATTGTCTCAGATATGTTTTCCAAATCAGTTGCTTTTCCCATGAGATATTTTATATTTTCTTCTATTTTTTAATTCTTTTGAATTTGTTTGATTGATTTTTGATGTCTAATAGAGTTGTTAGCCAATTCTAACTTTTAAAGAGTTGTTTTCCTCAATTAGCTTTTGTACTTTCTTTTCTATTTGGCCAATTCTACTTTTTAAGGAGTTGTTTCTTCAGTGGATTTTTGTATCTCCTTTTCCATTTGGCCTATTGTACTTTTTAAACAGTTGTTTTCTTTTTCCAAGCCCTGGCGGTTTACCTGGTGCTACACTGATGTTGCCCTGAGGCCCACAGAAGACCCTCATGTCTGGTGCTGTGCTGAGGGGTTGGGGCAGGGGGTAGCTGGTGCTGCTGGAGGCCATAGGGGTGTGTCAGCTTACCTGGTAGTGAGCCAGGGTCCTAGTGCTGATATCTGGGGTGTGCTGAGGCTGGTGGGGTGTTTCTGTGTTTTCCTGGGTATACACTGAAGCACATAGAGGTCTGGCCACTGGAGGTTGCCTGTTTTCCCAGGGTTACGCTTAAGCATGTGGCAGTTCTCAGAGCTGAAGTCTGCCTGGTCTTCTAGCTATGCTGAGGCACATGGGAGATCCTGGTGTTGGTGTTTGCCTTCTCCACAGCACTGGGGATCAGGATCTACCACTGATTTGCTGAGATGGGGCTTGCTACTGGCTTGCTGGCATACTTCCTGTCCTGGACTGTGCTTCCCTTTTACCCAAGTGAGACAGATCTTTCCTGCAGACCTTAGAGAGTTCTCAGGCTCAAAGATTGTTTCACCCCATCTTTTTTCTGGTTCTGATATTCCAGGATTTGTTTTGGGGTGCTATTTTATGGTTGTTTAGAGTTGAATAGGGGAGAGTTATGATGATTTTCTGCTTACTCCACCATCTCAGCTCCTAGAAGTTCCTCAACTTAATTTTTAAAAAAGTGTTTGAAAAATTAATCGATCCCCAAAGCATATTTAATGTAAAGTAAGTCATACAGACAGGAATTTATTATCCAACAATTCAGCTGGGGTTTCCACAGCAGCTGGGTCTTTTAAATCAGCAAGGAGAAATTAGGGGTTAAAGGGCTATGAAACCTGTCATTTCAAAATTCAATTTAATGTGTACTTACTGAGTGCCTCTTGTGTGTCTATCTCTACACTCATGATACTGTGAGGAAACCAAATGAAGCAGAAAATACAGTCCCTTTCCTGAGGGAATTCACTATCTCCATTGTGAGACAGGGTTCCTAATTATGAAGCAATTAGAAGACAGTGCAGGATAGAAATCAATTTCTAATGCTCTGCCAAAATCCCACCCAATCACTTAGTCCCTACTCCCAGGATGAACAAAGTTAGGAAAGTCTTATTTGTGACTCCCCTCAGGCACCCCAGTGCCTCTCTTATCTCCCCCATCAGATTTCTCTGAGTAGCTGTTCCAACCTTTTCCACTCAGCTTCAGCACCCAACC